ACGTTGCCATGAAACACCCGCCCGAGTGAATTCTACGTCGTGTCGAAGGGCTGCCCTGCTCGAGCGGGGTGCGTCGCTTTTCTGTTTGGCCCCGGGCGGCGCCGGACGACGCCCGACGCCGGCGCTGCGCCGCGGAGGTCGCCCCGAAGGTCCCCCGCCGGCCGGAGGCCGCGAAAGGTCGGCCCATGGCGCGCGTTCTGGAGAAGATTTCCACGGACCGGCCCTCGCTCGGCGACGCGGCCCTGGACAAGTACAAGGAGAGCGCCGACTGGCCGTCGCCCACGGGCGTCGAGGCGGCGAACGACCCCGGCGCCGGGTCGTCGTTCTGGGGCGCCGTCGGCGGCTGGGCGCGCGGCGCGGGCGCGCCGCCGTCGGAGACGCTGTCCGTCACCGTCGAGACGGAGGACGGGTCGACGTGCGTGTCGAGCAGCGACCGCGACGAGGTCTCCGTGGCCACGGCGAACCCGGAACCCGACGACGTCGACGGCGCCCCCGAGTCCTTCGCGTGCATGGACGTCGGCGACACGATCGGCGTCGGCAGCTTCTCCCGCGTGAAGATCGCCGTCGTGCGGCCGAGCGCCGACAGCGACGAGGGCGCCCGGGTCTGCGCCATCAAGGTCTGCCACAAGGCGCGCATCCTCGAGGCCGACGAGGTCGTGTCCATTTTACGGGAAAAGGACGCGCTGACCGTCGTCAAGCACCCGTTCGTCATGGAGCTCTTCGGCACGCACCAGGACGCGGACCGCTGCTACTTCGTCTGCGAGTACATCCCCGGCGGCGAGCTCTTCACCTACATCCACAACGTCTGCAGCGGGTCCATGGCCGACGTCGACGCGCAGTTCTACGCGGGGCAGCAAAAGAGAGCGAAATTCCCAACTTCAAAGGCTCACTTCTCGGCCGTTTTCCACTCGTTTCGGCTGATTTTTGGACGAGCGATCATCTCTCGGAACGGCCTCGAAGCGTGGATGCTTTTTTCGGAACGCGCATGCGCGGAACACTCACGTTGAAGCGACGTTGAATCACCCTTTTCCTGCCCAGGTTCTACGCGGCGTGCGTCGCGGACGCCTTCGAGCACGCGCACGGCCTCGGGGTCATCAACCGCGACGCCAAGCCCGAGAATATTGTGATTGATGCCTATGGGTATCCGAAGTTGTGCGACTGGGGCTTCGCGAAGACGGACGTGAAGCGCGGCGACGCGTGCCTGACGATCTGCGGCACGCTGGAGTACCTGTCGCGCGAGGTCCTGCTGAACCTGGGCTACGCCTTCGACGTGGACCTCTGGACGCTGGGCGTGCTCATCTTCGAGATGATCGCCGGGCGCACGCCCTTCTACGACCCGCTCATGGCCGACAATTTGCAGCAGCAGTCGATCTACGACAACATCCTCCACGGGGACGTCGTGCTCCCGAACTGGGACGTGCCCGACGTCGTGCTCAAGCTCCTCGACGTCGACGTCCACCGCCGCCTGGGGGCCGACGGCGGCGCCGCGCAAGTGAAGCGCGACGCGTTCTTCGACGACGTCAACTTCGACGCGCTCCGCCGCCGCGAGCTCATCGCGCCCTGGACGCCCATGCTCCAGTCCGAGACGGACATCACCCACTTCCAGGACCAGGGCGTCGACCTCGACGAGGACGACGCCGACGCCGACCTCCTCTTCCACGGCGACGACGCGCTCTTCGCCGACTTCTAGGCGCGCGGCGTCGCGCGCCCCCTCGAGGGGGGGGCGGAGCGCCCCCGCGCGCGGGCCGAGCGGCTCCGCCCGAGCAGACGCGTAAGCACCGCGTCGACTTCCTTCGTGTCACTCCCGGGCCTCGGGTTCCTCGCGACGTTCCTCGACGACGCCGACGGCAAGCATGGCGCGGGCGGCGGCGGCGCCGCCGCGGCGCGCTCGCCGTCGTTGCGGCTCACGTGCGCGCGCGCCCAGCGGTTGTCGGGGTCCACGTGCGACGGGTCGTAGCCGCCCACGGCGACGCCGGGCAGCAGCGCCATGAGCGTCTTCGCCTTGACGCCGTGGCTCGGCATCGGGGCGCCGTAGGCCTTCTTGTAGTCGCCCGGGAGGTTCCCGAGCAAGACGCGGCCCGATCGCGCCGCGTCGCAGAGCGCGAGGATCTGGGCCGCGAGTCGCGTGAGCTCCGCCGGCGACGCGTTGCAGCCCGCGGGGTCGATGGTCTTGCCCTGCTTCGCCGCGCCGTCCTTCTTCGGCGGCTTCGCGGCGGCCGGCGTGACGTTCCCGCGGGTGTCGTGGACGCGGCGCCCGTCCTCGTCGCGGATCCCGCCGGACTCCCGCCGCCGCGTCGGGCACGGCCGGTCCGCCATGACGACCGTGACCCGGCGCTTGGTGCCCGGGAAGAACTCGCCGCCGCCCAGGGTGGCGCGGGCCGCGTCGGCGCCCGCGGGCGCGTCGAAGACGACGAAGGCCGTGCCGGACGGCCGGCCGTCGCCGCGGTTCGGGGGCAGCGCGAGGGACGCGACGGGCCCGGCGCTTTCCATCCAGGACCGCACCTCGGCCTCCTGCGCGTCCCAGGGCAGGCCCCGGACGAAGACCGTGCGGCCGAGCTCCTCGGCGTCGCCCGCCGTCGGCGCGGGCTGAAACGGCGCGGGCTGCCGCGCGGACGGCGGCGGCGGCGGCGCCGGGGCGCCCGCGCCGTCGTCGCGGCGCACGTGCGCGCGCGCCCAGCGGTTCTCGGGGTCCACGTGATCTGGGTCGTAGCCGCCCACGGCGACGCCGGGCAGCAGCGCCATGAGCGTCTTCGCCTTGACGCCGTGTTTCGGCATCGGGGCGCCGTAGGCCCTTTTGAAGTCGATGGGGAGGTTCGCGAGCATGACGCGGGACGACGGCGAAGCGTCGCAGAGCGCGAGGACCTGAGTCGCGAGCCGCTCGAGCTGCGCCGGCGACGCGGTGCAGCCCGCGGCGTCGACGGTCTCGCCCCGCTTCGCCGCGCCGTCCTTGGGCGTCGGGGGCTCGTTCCCCCCGGCCTCGGCGCCGCGCATGCGCTCGAGCTCGGCCCGGAGGCTCGCCGGGTCCTCCGGCGGCGGCGCGATGACGTCCGCGACGGGCCCGGCGTCGGCGACGCCCGAGCCCGCGCGGCCGACGCCCGCGGTCGCGCCGCCGCACGACTCGAGGCCGTAGGGCTCGAGCGCGGCCAAGAGCCGCGACATCTTCAGCGCGCCGTAGGACTTCATGTCGAGGGCCTTGCGGTACTCGAGGAAGTAGGCGCGCGGCAGGTTCGCCGAGAGCACCTTGCCCCCCGGCGCCCCGTCGACCAGCGCGAGGATCTCCGCCGCGAGCGCGCGGAGCTGTTCCGGTTCCGCGGTCACAGGCGCGGTCCGCGCGTGCGCCAACAACAGCCCCGTGCGCTGAACGCGGTCGCGGGGCGCCGCGACGGCCTGGTAGAGCGCCTCGGCCGCCGACGATTCCGTGGCGCCCGACGCCTCGCGGAGCCGCGTCGGCGACCAGTCGCGGACTTTGGCGTTGACGCCCGCGGCGCGGTACGCCTCGCGCCCCGCGGCCCGGGCCTCGAGCGCCGCGGCGTCGGGGACGTCGCCGTCCTCGGCGCCCGTGCCCCGGCGCGACGCCGTGCTCCCGCGGCCCCGCGCGTCCGCGCGGACGTAGACGTTCGGCAGTTTCGCGAGGAGGTCCGAGAGCCGGTCCTCGCCGTACGTCGCGCAGTTCAGCGGCGCGCCGTGGAGCGCGTAGTAGAGCTTCGGCAGGTTCGCGCATAAAATCTTGCCGGACTCGGCGCGGTCGACGACGGCGAGGACCTCGGCCTCGAGCGACCGCAGCGTCGGCGGCTCCGGCGCGCCCTCGGGCGTCTTCCGGGAAAACCCCGGCGGCGTCGACGCCACGGACTCGGGCGACGGCTCGTTGAGGAAGGGGCGCTTCACGGACAGGGTCGGGTCGCCCGTGCCGAAGAAGGCGTGGTAGCCGATGCCGCGCTCGTGGTCCGCGCCGACCGCGCCGGCGACGGACGCCGCGCCGATGACGCCGGGCACGGACGTCGCGCCGATGGACCCGACGGCGCCGGGCGGCTTGGCGACCATGGGGATGCGCACATCGTCGAGCGGGGCCACCATGGGCAGCTAATGAGCTCCGTGCGATAGGCAAGCATGCGGCATGCTCGGCTAGTTGCACTTTTGCAACGAAGGTAACTTGAACATCAATCGAGCTGCATCATCGACCAAATTCGCCGAACACTACCAATAGAGCAATGGCCGCTTTTACGACTCGAACTGAGGGCCTGCAGCTCGCGCCGTAGAGTCGCCGTTTCCAGCCGACGCCACCATTGCTGAGTACCCGATCTACGACCGCTCCGGCGTCGACGACGACGACGCGGCCCTCTACGCGCCGCCGCCGACGATGAGCGCCGAGGTCTTCGTCTGCCACGCGGGCACCTGCCGCGCGCGCGGCGCCGAGGCCGTGCTCGTCGAGATCGAGGAGCTCGCGGAGGCCGTCGGCGCGGACTGCAAGGTGCGCGAGTCCGGCTGCCTGGGCCTGTGCAGCCAGGCGCCGAACGCCGTCGTCCGCACGAAGACGGGACGGACCAAGGTCACGGAGCACACGCGGCTCACTTCGCTCGAGGCGAGCGCCAAAGTCGTCGAGCGGGCCACGGGCGTGGCGCCGGACCTCGGCGCGACGAACTGGCGCCTCGAGGGCCTGCGCGCGGAGCGCGCGCGCCAGCACGCCAAAAGCGTCTACCACTGGAACGCGGCGCTCCGCGGCCTCAAGGCCCCGGCCTTCGGCGACCCGGAGCTGCGCCAGCTCCGCGCGGACGCCGGCTACCCCGACGGCATTACGGCTGCGGCGCCGTCGGCCATCGCGGGCTACACGCGGTGGACGCTCGAGGAGGTCGACGCCGTCTCGCGCCACTCGGCGATCTTCTCCTTCCGATCCAAGGACCTGAAGCGGGGCACGCCGCACCCGCGGGGGCGCGGGCGGCAGCCCGTGCCCATCACCTGGCACACGACGCTGTTGGCCTTCGTGGGCGCGAACGGCGAGGGCCCGCTGCCGTGGGTCGAGCGCGACTACACGCCCGTGTCGACGGCGCGCGATTGGGAGCGCGGGACCGTGGACCTGCTGGTCAAGTGTTACGCCGACGGTTTAGCGACGTCGTGGCTCAAGGCCGTGCCCGTCGGCGCGGAGGTCTGGCTCTCGAAGCCCGTGAAGACGTGAGTGGAAATCAAATCTTCAACCCGACTTCAATGTGCGCGTATGCGACAGTTTCGATGCAAGCTCTTCGGCTGTGCTTCGAGAACTTGACGAGAGCGATCGATTCGTCCAAAAATTAGCCGAATCGACTTCGATTTGACCGAGATAGAGAGGTTTGCAGTTTTGCTGGACGCGTCCATTCCACTGGTTGATTTCCACACAGGTGAAGACGCTCGACGTCCCCGCGCTCGTCGCCGACGGCGGCCGCGCGTTCCGGCCCGCGTCCGTGCTCCTGCTCCTCGCGGGCACGGGCTGCGTCGCGCTGCCCCAGATCTTGGCGCACCGCGACCCCATGACCAAGCTCTCCATCTCGACGCCGAAGCGGGACCAGCTCAAGGTGCCCGTCGACGTCGTGCTCTCGTGCCGCGAGGACGACCCGCTGCTCGTCGAGGACGTGGCGGCGTGGTGCGCCGAGGAGGGCGACGCCGCGGGGCTGCGGCGGGCTACCGTGTTGGTGACGCCCGAGGGCGCTGGACCGCCGCAGTTCAACGCCGCGGCCAAAGCGGCGGACGCGGTCCTCGCCGCGTCGCCGAACGCGGCCGTCGTCCGCGCGCGCCTCGACGGCGCCCTGCTCCGGGAGGCCTACGCGCGCATGCCCCGGCCCTGCCGCGTCGTCGTCTCCGGGCCCGACGGCTTCAACGCGGCCTGCCGGTCCGCGCTCCTGGACCTCGTCGACGACGCGGACGACGTCACGATCCTCGCGGCCTAGGCTCGTGTGTGTCGCTTCCCCCCCCGTCGGTCGTATGTGTAGCTTTTACCGGGGCGCGTCCGCGGCGCGGGAACGGAGCGAAGCCGCGATCGGCGCGGGGACCGGCGCCGGTCGGCGCCGCGGCCCGGGCGCCTAGTACTTGACCTCGCAGGACTCGAGGTAGGGCCCCCAGACCTTGCGGAGGGTGACGTCCATGCCGACCTCGGCGAGCTCGTCGAGGGGCTTGACGATGAAGGGGATCGTCGCGAGGCCGATCGCCGTGGGCACGACGTCGTAGACGCCCTCCGTGAGCCCCGCGGCGCCGAGGAGCGTCACGGCGATGGCGACGACCTGGTGGATCGTGTAGCCCGGCAGGGCCACCGACGCCGCGAGCTGCCAGATGAGCGCGTCGAGGCCCTCGATCAAGGCGCACGACGTGAGCGCGTCCTCCTCGTACTTGGCGCCGCCGTAGGCCTTGCGCGTCTTGTCGACGGTGTCGGCGACGACGTAGGTGATGGCGACGGCGTAGGACGCCGGCACGCAGATGGGGGGCACGATGGGTGCGAAGGCCTCGCCGACCTCGTTCGCGTAGCCCGCGTACCGGAGGAGCGTGTCGCGGTAGATGTCGACCTCGCCGTCGCCGGCCTCGGCCTCGACCGCCTCCTCCTCCTCGCCCTCGGCGCCGACGAGGTAGGCGCCCGTGCCCACGAAGACCGCCGGCACCGCCGCGGCGCTGGCCACGGTCTCGATGACCGCGGCGTCGAACATGGACAGGGCCGGCGCGCTCCGCCGCGCGGCGACCGACGCCCGGGGCAGGGCCGGCTTGGCGACGAGCGCCGACGCCGGCAACGCCAGCAGGAGCAGGGGGAGGCACACAGATGCCATCGAGAACAGCCGGACAAGAAGCTTACTTTCAAGCTTACGGGCTGTGATCGCGAAGATGTGGGGCAACATCTGGGCAACACATGTGCACCATTGACTTGTGGCAAAAGGCATGGGCGCGCCGTGAAAGCAGGCGCCTGAGGACGGCTAGCGCCCAAATAAAAACCCTATCACACCCTCACTCTCCATGACAACATCGCGCATGCTCCTGCTCATCGCCGCGCGGTCGACGGCGCTCCCGTCGACGCGACAGCCCATCACACGCGCCCGCGCGCTCGCGTCCGCCGCCTGGGTCGGCGACGCCTACGCCGCGGAGCTCGCCGCCGCCGTCGGCGCCGTCGCGGAGGCCTGCGGCGTCGCCAAGGCGCTGCAGCGGCGCGGCGTCGACGGGTTTTCAAAATCGGACGCGTCGCCGGTAACGATAGCGGACCTCGCGGTGCAGGCCGTCGTCATCCGGCGGCTCCACGACGCGTTCCCCGGCGACGCCTTCATCGCCGAGGAGTCGGCGACGGCCATGCTCGCCTTCGAGGGCGGGCGCGCGGCGCTCGAGGACGCCGCGGACGCGTGCGGGCTGTCCGTCGCTTCTTTGACGGAGCACGTCGACCGCGGCCGCGCGCCGCGGGCCGGCGCCGCGCGGACCTGGGTCCTGGACCCCGTCGACGGCACGAAGGGCTTCCTGCGCGGCGCCCAGTTCTGCTGCGCGCTCGCGCTCGTCGACGGCGTCCCGGGCGAAGGCCGCGACGCGACGCTCGGCGTCCTCGGCTGCCCGAACCTCGCGGCGACCTGCGAGCTGCCGGCGGGCGACCCCATGGACGCGGCGGGCGTGGTCGTCGCCGCCGCGCGGGGCCGCGGCGCCCACTTCGCGCCGCTCGCCGACGTCGACCGCTGGACGCGCGCGCGGAGCTCCGGCAACGCCTTCGCCGCGGGGCGGCTCGTCGAGGGCGTCGCGCTGTCGCACAGCGACCACGACGCGTCGGCGCGGGCCGCGGCGGACCTCGGCATCTCCCGGCCGCCGCTGCGCCTCGACTCGCAGGCCAAGGCCGCCTTGCTCGCGAACGGCCAGGCGGAGCTCTTCACGCGGCTCCCGACGGCGGGCTACGTCGAGAAGGTCTGGGACTTCGCCGCGGCGAAGGTCGTCATCACGGAGGCCGGCGGCGCGATCAGCGACCTCGACGGCGACGACATCGACGTGGACCTCGGCGAGTGCCTCTCGCCCAAGGTCGCGGGCATCGTCGCGACGTCGTCGCCGGCGCTCCAGCCCGCCGCCCTCGCCGCCGTGGCGCGCGCGCGCGCGGCGTAACCCGCGACCTTGGGCGAAAGAAAAGACCGGCGGGCCCCGTCGCGGAGCGAGGATATATCTACTACGAGAGGATACAATTTACCAAAGCAGCGCCTGAGGACCACTCTCATCTGGAGTTTTGTAACCGGTCCGCGTTGGACACCGGCACCATGGGCGGGGGTGATTTCGCCGGCGTCCGAAGACGGACGAGCGAATCGCCGGACGCGACTAGGAGACGCGCGCCCCGATCGCAGGTGCGAGTATCCCCCAGGACATGAAGCAAAAGGCGCGCCGCCCGGCGCCTCGACTCGCGGATTCCGCGAAAAGCTGTGAATCGAGACGCGCGGCGGCCGCAGGTCCACACGGCCTTCGACATCAAGACGACGAGCGACTGGGCCGAGGCCACGGACCTGCGCACGCGCGACGAGCTGCAGGCGGAGCTCAGCCGGCTCCGGTCGCTCGCCCTGATGTGCGTCAACGCGAAGATGGACAACAAGCGCATCGAGGACAAGCTGGACGTGACCAAGGAGAAGAAGAAGGAGATCGCCAAGGACCCCGCGACGACGAAGCTCCTCAAGGACTGCATGCGCGAGAACCCCCTCTTCAAGCGGTGCCGCGGCGAGGAGACGGACGAGCTCGTGGGCCAGTTCGAGCAGGTGTCCTACGGCGCGTCGAAGCAGATCATCACCCAGGGCGAGACGGGCGACACGTTCTACGTCATCGAGAGCGGCATCTGCGACGCCTTCATCAAGGGCACGTCCAAGGCCGTCGCGTCGCCCGCGCGCGGCATGGGCTTCGGCGAGCTGGCTCTCATGTACAACACGCCGCGCGCGGCGTCCATCACGGCGCGCACGGACGTCGTGCTCTGGAAGATCGAGCGCCAGGAGTACCGCCTCGTGCTCGCGTCCCACGCCCAGAAGCGGTCCAAGGAGTATAAAGAGCTCCTGTCCGAGGTCGTGCTCCAGAACGAGGGCAAGACGAAGAAGAAGCTGCTCAAGGACTGCATCACGGACTCGCAGATGACGAAGCTCGCCGACGCCATGGACGAGGACAACGTCGCCGCGGGCCACAACATCATCTGCGAGGGCGACGAGGGCCACACGTTCTTCATCATCGCCGACGGCGAGGTCGTCGTCAGGGCAGGACAAGGGTGATTCAACGTCGCTTCAACGTGAGTGTTCCGCGCGCGCGCGTTTCGGAAACAGCACCCACGCTTCGAGAGCGCTCCGAGAGATGATCGCTCGTCCAAAAATCAGCCGAAACGAGTGGAAATCGGCCGAGATAGGAGCCTTTGAAGTTGGGAATTTCGCACCCTTTTGCTGCCCAGGTCGTCGTGTCCAAGGGCGGCGACGCGATCACGACGCTCAAGCGCGGCGGCTACTTCGGGGACCGCGCCCTCGTCGCCGACGAGAAGCGCAACGCGACGTGCCAGGCGGGAAAGAAGGGCGCCAAGGTGTTGGCCGTGGACCGCGAGGACTTCATCGCGCTCCTCGGCTCCATCGACGAGCTCGTGGAGCACGGCTCCGCGACGGAGGAGGAGACGGCCTACAGCGCGCGCAAGGCCGAGGCCATCACCATGAAGGACATCACGGTGATCCGCACGCTCGGCCACGGCGCCTTCGGCAAGGTGTGCCTGGCGTGCCACGACGCGACGGGCGTGCACTACGCGCTCAAGTCGCAGTCGAAGAACGCCATCGTCGAGAACAACCTGCAGGAGCACGTGCTCATGGAGCGCTCCATCCTCATGCAGCTCGACCACCCCTTCATCCTCAAGCTCACGTGCGCGTTCCAGGACGACTACGACATCTTCTTCCTGTTGGAGCTCCTGATCGGGGGCGAGCTCTTCTCGCACCTGCGCAAGGCGGGCCGCTTCGCGGAGCCGACCATGAAGTTCTACGCGGCGGGCGTGATCCTGGCCTTCGACCACATGCACCAGAAGAAGATCGCGTACCGCGACCTCAAGCCCGAGAATTTGGTGCTCGACAAGGACGGCTACCTCAAGGTCGTGGACCTGGGGCTGGCCAAAATCGTCCCGGGCAAGACGTGGACGCTCTGCGGCACGCCGGACTACCTCGCGCCCGAGGTCATCCTCAACGAGGGCCACGACAAGGCCGTGGACTACTGGGCGCTCGGCGTGCTCATGTACGAGCTCGTGTCCGGGTCGCCGCCCTTCTACGCCGACGACCCCATGGAGGTCTACGAGAAGATCCTCAGCGGCAACATGTCCTTCCCGTCCCACTTCGGCAAGTACCTGAACGACATCGTCCGCAAGCTCCTCAAGCTGTGCCAGTCGAAGCGCCTCGGCAACGGCAAGCACGGCTGCGGCGCCATCAAGAAGCACCGCTTCTTCAGCGGGTTCGGCTGGGACGACCTGCTGTCGCGGAACATGGACAAGCTCAAGCCGCCCATCGAGGTCAAGGTCGCGGACGACGCGGACGCGCATAACTTCGACCAGTACGAGGAGCACGCGGAAGACAAGATCGCGCGCAAGTCCTGGAACCCGCCGCTCGACGAAGCCTAGGTCTTCCTCCGGAACCAGCTCCTCCTCCCTCCCCGCGTCGTCGTCCCACTCCAGAAACCACTGCGAATCGGCGCCCGGCGGCGGGCGCCGCGCCGCGGGCGCCGCGCGGGGTGCGCGCCGCGCGCGCGGCCGGTCGCCGCCGCCTAAGGGCACCTAGGCTCGAATGAAGAGTCTCGCTTAGCACGCGGACTCCGGAAGGGCATCTAGCTACAGGCTCGATGTGAGAGCTGCTTAGCACGCGGAAGGGCACCTAGGCTCGATGTGAGAGCTTCGCCTAGCACGCGGCGGCCCCCGTCGTCGCGTCGTCCGCGCCGAAGGTCGGCGGGTCCATGGCGACGCACCGACCTTGGCGGTCGTAGCCCGTCGGCCGCGCGTGCGTCAGCACGAGCCCGAGGCCCGGCAGGGCGAAGACCTGGTAGGGGAACGCGAGCAGCGCGTACCACGTCTTGCCCCAGAAGAGGAGCTGCTGCACCTGCCACGTCTTCGTCGAGCCGCTCGCGAGCATGACGCCCACCACCACCGCCACCACCAGCGCGAAGCACGCGACGTCGTAGGCGCAGAGGCGCTCGAGGTGGTTCCGGTCCTGGTGCACGACGTGGTCGACGTCGGGCCCGTCGAGCTCGAGGACGTCGTCGGACCCGTCGTCGCGCCACGTCACGCCGTGCGTGCCCTTCCAGCGGTGGTAGGCCTTCACGTCCGCGTCGCGCCGCTTCTTTCGGCCCTCGACCTTGACGGACACGGTCTTGCCGACGAGCTGGTACTGGCGCTGCGGGTTGCCGCCCTTGGGGATCGCCGTGGTCATCAAACGGAGCGCGACCCACGCGAGGAGCACCTGGAGCACGAAGCCGCAGACCGACAGGACGAACGTCGAGATCCGCGGCTCGCCCCCCGGGCCCGCGTGGGCGCAGCGGTTCTTCGTGGTCCGCAGGCCCGCGCAGGACATGTACATGACCGACCCGACGAAGGACGACACGAGGCCCGTCGTGTAGAACTGGAACGACTTGAAGGCCTGGACGTAGGCGACGAGCTGGTACTCGTCGCGCCGGTCGATGAGGCACAGGTTCAGCAGGAACATGAAGCTCTGGATGCCCGCGAAGGGCAACATGCGGCACGCCGTGATGAGCAGGAACGCGGGCGCCTTGACCTTCTTCCAGAACGTCTTGTCGTAGGGGTACAGCGCGTAGAGATACGCCGCGCGGAGGCACGCGCACGGGTGCCGACGCCCTTTCGCAGGCGCCGCGCGACGAAGCGCGGCATGTCGGGGTCCGCGCCGATGGCGTGGCGCTGCTCCGCGATGACCTTGTCGATGCGCGCCTCGCACTCGTTCAACAGCAGGAGCCGCGCCTCGGCCTTGGCCGCCTCCAGAGCCTGGCGCGGCGCCGCGGTCGTCGTCTCGTAGGCCGTCGCCGCGGCGCCGCCGGCCGCGGACGCCGCGGTCGCCGCGGCGCCGCCGGCGGCGACGTAGGCCGTGTGCGTCGTCTCCTGGAGCTGCTGCGTCGTCGCCGCGGCGACGCCGCCCGTGGTCTCGGCGGCCTGGACGGCGCCGTGCTTGATGGTCGAGACCGTCGTCGAGGCCGTCGACGAGGCAGCCGAGGCGACGTCGCTGGCCTTCTTTTTGATGAAGCTAAAGCTCGGCATGGTTTTTTTGAGCGCTGCCGGCGACACGCAGCCCTTTCTGTCGGTCGCACGCCGCGCTAGCGCTCAGCTGAGCAGAGGCTGCCACCCATTACGGATACATTGGCCGCGCGCGCTTCACGTTTGCCTTCAACATGAACTCGAAATTCGAACGTCCCGCCGCGCGGTGCCGAGTCGACGCGAGCCTCCATTGCCTTACGGGTCGCCGGCGCCGCCGAGGAAGTCGACGAGGGACTCGGTCTGGGAGAGGTGCTGCGCGAGGCGGGCGACGGGCTGGACGACGTGGGACTGGGCGCTGCCCGGCGCGCTCGAGCCGCCGTCGCCGTCGCCCGCCGGCGCGTCGCCGCCCGCGCGCCGCCGCTCGGCGCAGCGCGCCTCGACGACCGCGATGAGCTCGCGGAGCTCCTCCGCCTTTCCAGGGACGGTCTCGGCCGTGCGCTTGATGTCGCGCGCGGCGGCCTCGACGGCCTCGACGTGGTCGCGCTCCTGGGCCGACGGCGCGCGCGGTGCGCCGTCGCCCTCGCCGCGGAAGAGCCGCGCCTCGTAGGCGCGCTGCTCGTCGATGGCCTCGAGCGCGGCGTCGCGGTACTCGGCGACGGCGCGCGCGGCCTCGCGCGCGCGCCGCTCGAGGGCGGCGTTCCTCGCGCGCGCGGCGACGCAGCGGCCCGCGAGCGTCGACAGCCGCGCGCGCTTCGCGTCGGGCCCGCCGACGGGCTCGGCCTCGTGGCACTGGCCGAGGCGCTCGAGGACGCCGCGCTTCATGCCCCGGATCCAGCCCTGGACCCACTCGGGCTCGCCGGCGCAGGCGCGCACCGCGCACTCGCTCAAAGCGTCGTCGATGGCGCGCGCCGCGTCGGCGCCGTAGCGCCGCTTGCGCCGCCCGCCCGCGAGCGACAGCTTGCCCAGGGGCGCGTCGTCCGACGGCGCGTGCTCGAGCTCGAAGGCCTGGTCGCGCAGGGACGCCTCGACCATGACGAGCGGGTCGACGGAGGCCATGTGCGTGGATAGGTCGCGCGGCGGCTCCGCGTGCGAGGCGTGCGCCGACGCCGCGGCCGGCACTCCGGAAGTTCAAAATCGCGTCAAAACCGACCCTGCTCGAGTCGTGCTCAAGATGATGCCGTGATCACCCATCGATGGAGCCCGAGTAGCCCATCCGATGCGCAGCGTCGCCGCCAAGGACCGGCTGCCCGGCCGGTCGCCACCGACCGCAAGCGGCGGCGCGGCGCGCTGGGGCGCCGTGACGTTCCGGTCCTACTGCTGGAAGGGCCTCACGGAGGTGCCCGAGGAGGCCCTGAAGCACGAAACCCTCGAGAAGCTCTGGCTGCACAACAACGACCTCGTCGTATTGCCGCCGCGCCTCGGTTCTCTCGTCTCGCTGCGCGTCCTGACGCTGTCGCGGAACGCGCGCCTCGCGGACCCCTGGGACGTGCTCGAGACGCTCGTGAATTTGGTCACGCTGGAGCTCAACGGCGCGGGCCTCGAGCGCGCGCCCGAGAGCCTCGGGAACCTGGCGAAGCTCGAGCGCCTCGAGCTGGGCGAGAACCGGCTGCGAGTCTTACCCGAGGCGCTGGGGACGCTGCAGGAGCTCGCGTACCTCGACGTGAGCGCGAACCGCCTCGAGGCGCTCCCCGTGTGTCTCAAAGCGCTCCCGAAGCTCGCGGAGGTCCAGGCCTTCCACAACGCCTTCGCGACGGTGCAGACCCTGGGGCCGGCGTGCACGCTCTGGGGCGGCGCGCCGGGCAACCCGCCCGTCTGGGAGGGCGTCGCGACGCCGTTCTACGCGTCGCTCATGACCGTGTGCGTCATGGACGAGAACGTGCGCTGGCTCGAGGAGTTTCTGATTTATCATCTTCACGTGGGCTTCGACCACGTCTACCTCTACGACAACAGCGGCACGGCGGGCTGCCACTGCGTCGACGCGAACGGCGACGCCTACGAGTCGCGGGGCACCACGTACGAGCGGAACAAGTACGGCTTCGAGCTCGAGGCCTACGCGCCGCGGACCTTCGCGGCCATCGCCGCCAAGTTCCCGGGCCGGGTCACGCGCGTGCCCTGGACGCCCAGAGACGAGCACGGCTTCGTCACCTACGGCCAGAACGAGGCGCTCCGCCACTACGTCGACAACTACGGCGGCGACAGCACGTGGTGCTGCTTCACGGACCTCGACGAGTACGTCTTCTCGCCGAGCGGCCGCGATCTGCGGCGCGACCTGGAAGAATACGCGGCGGCGGGCGTGACGCTCCTGCGGCTCGCGCAGAAGAAGTTCCGGGACCGCTACGAGCTCCCGCGGCACGCGGCCGTCACGCAGTGCTTCGACGCGCTGAGCTTCGACTTCTCGTCGCCGTCGGCGCCGACGAGCCACAAGAATCTCGTCTACCTCTCCCACTTCCGGAGCCTGAAGAACGTCCACGAGTTCTACGTCGACGGCGCCGCGCGGCACGTGCCCCAGGCCGAGTGGCGCTTCAACCACTACAACGCGAACCCGTCCCAGCTCCAGTGGATGTTCCGGAAGCACCTCATCAAGGCGCCGGCCCTCGACGACGTCGACGCGGGCATGCGGCGCTACGCGGGCGTCGTCGCCGGCATCCGCCAGCCCGCGCCGCTCGCCGTCGCGAAAAACCCCATGCCCATCGCGCGCCACTCGCTGCGATAGCGGACTTGGGATAGCGACCGCGCGAGTTTACGGCGCGCCTAGCGCCCGACGCCGACGTCGATCTTCGTGAGGCCCTGCCGCATGGTCCAGGACCCGAGGCGCGCGCCGTCCTTGTCGCCGAGGAAGGCCGTGAACTTGTGGGTCGGGAACGTGTTGATCGTGACGCCCTGGCCCGGCGGGATGTCGCCCTGGGGCGCGAGGTCGCCGCCGTCGTCCCAGTAGAGCGCGACCTTTGAACTGGCCTTGTTCGTGAAGACGCACTCGATGCCCGCCTTGGCCTTGGCCTTGGCCTTGTCGATGGCGTCGCGGGGCCGGTTCCAGACCCAGAGGTTCGCGGCCCACTTCTCGCCGTCGCCCATCGGGCAGGACCCGTGGAGCGAGTAGCCGTCCAACGACGCGTCGCCGCGCTGCGAATAAAACAACACGGAGTCGCCCGTGCGCGGCGTCACGCGCAGGGCCTCCGACTTGGTGTCGCAGACCCAGGCCGCGTCCGCGTCGCGGATGAAGCCCGGGGTGCGGTTCGTGCCCGCCTGCGTGAGGCGCCCGCCTTGGTAGATCTCGTGCGTCGTCGACAGCGGGAAGACGGTCTCGCCGCCACTACCGGCGTTGTTCAGGTAGAGGAAGACAGTCGCGAAGCGGTTCGTGCCGTTGTTCGCGGTAGGGATGGCGTTGGAGAACGCGTCCTCGGATGCGCCGCCGCCGCCCGCGTTCCGCGACGTGAAGTAGTCGACGTGGGGCTTGTACCACTGGGGCCGCTCGTAGTGGAGCACCTGCAGCCCGTCCTCGAGCTTGCGGTGGGCGTCGATCTTCAGCAGGCGGAACGCGCGGCCGATGACGTCGCGCGCGACGGGGCTCGCCGTGTCCCAGGCGTTCGTCGACGTCCGCGTCTTGTCGCCCGACCGCCCCACCAATCCAACCTCCGACGGCTTGATGCGCGGCTTGTTGCGCTCGATCAACTTTTCGGTTTCGTGGCCCATCATGAACTGGGAGATGCGAAACACCTGGGGCCGCATGGAGAGAGTCGTGACGACGGAGCGGTGGCCCGCGTCGACGCCCGTCTCCGCGTCGGCTAAATCGGTAACCGTCGCGTGGCCCGTGCGTACGGTGGGCCAGACGAAGTGGACGCCGCTGGGCACGAGCCAGACGTCCGCGGCGGCCTTGGCGTCCCACGTCGCGTCCGCGTCTCCCGAAACCTTCGCCGGGTAGCCGACGACGCCGCGGCCTTTTCGCGCCAAGGCCAGCAGGTCCGCCATGGTGTTCAGCCGGTTCCCCTCGGCGTCGAAGGCCCGGGCGCCGTGGGCCGGCTCGCAGTCCGAGTACTCCGCGGCGACCAAAGCCGGGCCCGTGTGGTCGCCCGCGAGGTCGATCCTTCCGAGCGTCGTCTTCCGCGCGTCCAAACACGACGTCCGCAAAAAGGAGTCAAAGTCGGCGAACTCGCAGGGGTGCACGGGCGGGCCGACCAGCGCCGACCCCATGTCGCCGTTGAGGCGGCCGCGGACCCGAACGCCGCGCGCCTCCGTCGTCGCGCACTCCGGAGCCGGGTCCTCCGGAGCCGGCGCGGGGTCGCCGTAGATGGACACGGCGCTCACGCGGTAGTTGGCTTCACTCGACTCCCACTTGGGCCCGAGGCCCGGGAAGGGCTTGAGGGGGTCGTCCTGCCCCAGCGGGCCCGCGATCAACGCGACGGACACCGCGCCGCCGCCGCCGCCCTCGCCGCCCTCCAGACTCAGCCGGTGGCCCGCCGACGGCCACTCACCGTTCGTCCAGATGGGCCACAACCCGCCGAGACCGACCAAAGCCTCGTCCTCCGCGAGGTCCGCGCCGACCCAGTCGCCTTGCGTGTTCGCGTGGACGTGGACCTTTCCGCGGAACGCGCCTGGGCAGCAAAGAGAGATTCAACGTCGCTTCAACGTGAGTGTTCCGCGCGCGCGCGTTCCAAAAAAAGCATCCACGCTTCGAGACCGCTCCGAGAGATGATCGCTCGTCCAAAAATGAGCCGAAACGAATGGAAAACGGCCGAGAAAGGAGCCTTTGAAGTTGGGAATTTCGCTCTCTTGTGCTGCCCCGAAACGCGCCGACGTCGCGCGCGGCCACGAGCGTGAACCCCATGCCGTCGACCTCCCGGTCGCTCTCGCCGTGGGCCGCGCAGGCCATGGGCTCCAGGCCGCCCGCGGGATGGAACGCGACGTGGAGCTCGTAGGAGCCCTTGGAGCCGTGCAACGCGCGGAACGAGCGCCCGGGCGCGCCGGCTCTGCCCAGGTCCTCGGCGAGTTTGCCGTAGGCGGCCCGGAAGGCCGCGAAGACCTCGACGGCCGCCGCCGCGACGGCGTCGGGCGCCGCCGAGAGCCAGGTCCCGGGGTCGCCCCGGAAGACGAACGCCTCGGGCTCGCCGCCGCCGCGCGGCGCGTAGCCGTCGAACGCGTCGAGGTCCTTCCGTTGGAACGCGGCGTAGGCCGCGGCGGCGACGGCGTCGACGGCCCCGGCCTCGAGGCCCATGACGATGGCGCCGGACGTCGACAGCGCGGCCTCGAGGGACGACGGCGACAGGTCGTCGAGGCGCGCCATCTGGCCCTCGCCGAAGGACGGGACGACGGAGGCCTCCGTGTCCTCCTTCGACGACGACCAGAGCCAGCCCGTGGCGGGCCGGGTGAACAAGAGGAGCGCCAGTCTTGTCATGCTTTTTGTCGACCGCGGCATCGTGGACACCTGGCGCTTGCGGGCGGATGCTGCCGCAAACATGTCGCCGACTGCCACAAGCCGCCAGCGCCGACGGCCGCGGCGCGAGCCAAGCCTTAGTAGCCACCAGCGCCGTTGCGCCAAGCCAAACTTCGCACACGATGGACGCCGAGGCGCTCCACTCCGAGGCGGAGCGCCGGATCAAGGAGGTGACCATCCCCCTCTTCGAGGAGCAGGCGCACCTCTTCGTCGACGTGTGGCCGACGTGGAAGGCGGACCTCTCGCAGCCCGGCACGCAGCTCACGGCCGACCAGCTCCAGCTCCTCGGCCAGATCGACACCCTCGACCGCAAGTACGTCGGCGGCCTGCGCGCGTACCGCGCGAACGCCGTCGAGCTGCTCCGCGCGTCGGCGGCGGGCGCGAACCCGCTCGAGGGCTTCCGGCCGTCGGTGCCGCTCGGCGAGACGCTCGTCGCGCACGGCGACGCGTACCGCGCCGCGGAGCGGGCGGGCATCGAGGCGGCGCAGAGGTGCGCCTTCGTGCTCGTCGCCGGCGGCCTCGGCGAGCGTCTGGGCTACGGCGGCATCAAGGTGGGCCTCCCGACGGAGTCGACGACGGGTTGTTGTTATTTGAAGCACTACGTCGAGGCGATCTTGGCCATCGGCGACCGCGCGGGGCGGCCCCTGCCGCTGGCGATCATGCTCAGCGGCGACACGGACGCGCCGACGCGCGCGCTCCTAAAAAAGGAGGGCAACTTCGGCATGCGCGACGAGGATTTGACGCTCATGGTCCAGGACAAGGTGCCGTCCATCGTCGACGGCGGCGGCCGCTTCGCGCTCGCGAAGGACGGCCGGAGCCTGGAGACGAAGCCCCACGGCCACGGCGACGTCCACGCGCTCGTCGCGGCCCACGGCCTCGCGGACGCGTGGCTCGCCGCGGGTCTCGAGCGCGTCTTCTTCTTCCAGGACACGAACGCGTTCGCGCTGCGGTCCTGCGTCGCCAACTGCGGCGTCAGCGCGAAGCTCGACCTCGACTACAACTCGTCGTGCGTGGCGCGCAAGCCCGGCGAGGCCATCGGCGCCATCTGCCGCCTCGACCGCCCCGCGACGGCTACCGAAGACGCGCGGGCCCTGACGCTCAACGTCGAGTACAACCAGCTCGCGCCGCTCCTCGCGTCCGTCGGCGAGGCCGACGACCCGACGCCGTCCGGCGCCTCGCGCTTCCCGGGCAACATCAACCAGCTCTTGATCAAGCTCGGCGGCGACGACGGCTACGCGGCGGTGCTACAACGGACCGGCGGCGCGGTGCCCGAGTTCGTGAACCCGAAGTACGCCGACGACACGAAAACAGCCTTCAAGAAGCCGACGCGCCTCGAATGCATGATGCAGGACTACCCGAAGCTGCTGTCGTCGAACGCGAAGGTCGGGTTCACGGTGTTGGAACGGGCCGCGGTGCGGGAGTACTCGCCCGTGAAAAACGCGACGGCCGACGGCGCGGCCAAGGTCCGCGCGGGCCTCGCGGGCGCCTGCCCGGCGACGGGCGAGGCGGACCTCTACGCCTTCAACTGCGACCTGCTGTCCGTCGGCGGCATGGACGTCGCGCCCGCGGAGCGGCGGACGTTTTTGGACGTGCCCGTGGACCTGCGGCCGCGCGTTTGTTTGAGCCCCTTCTTCGGGCTGACGGAGGACGACTTCGAACGATGCGTCCGGGGCGGCAGCCTCGGCGTTGGAGCGTCGTTGGTGGTGGAGGGCCGCGGGTCCGTCGTGTTGGAGGACGTGCACGTCCGCGCGGGATCCGCGCTCCGCGTGACGACGGGGCCGGGGACGAACCTCGTCGTCCGGGGCCTCGTCGTCGACAACGCGGGCGGCAGCCTCGTCGCGCTCACGGACGCGGAGCTCGCGGACGCGGCCGTGCCCGAGGCCGTCCGCATCCGCGGCTTCAAGTACGTGCCGCGCGAGGAGCGCCACCTCGACTTCCGCGAGGCCGGCGACTTCGTCGTCACGGCGTAGGTTTTTTACTTGTAAGCTCGCGGGCGGCGGCCGCTCGCCCTAGGCCTCCTTGCCCTTGGGCGTCTCCATGATGGCCGGCAGCCCCGCGAGGGACAGGAACAGCATGAGCCCCTCGGGGACGTAGTGCATCGGGTACTTGAGGGGCAGGTCCGGCGTGAGGTAGCCGAACTTGGCGTTCCACCTGCGTCGGCGCGACGTCGGGCGCGGCGTCGGGCGCGGCGTCGGGCGCGGCGTCGGGCGCGGCGTCGGGCGCGACGTCGGGCGCGACGTCGGGCGCCCCGAAGCGCGGAGACGCCGGGCGCGCGCGGGTACAAGACGCCGATGCCGACGGAGATGAAGAACGCGGCCTTGGCGGCCGACGCCGTCGGGCTGCACATCATGAGGTAGCAGAAGCCGAAGATGGACACGGCGTGGCCCCGGATCCAGAACTCCATGCCGGGGGTGCTCGGCATGTCCCAGTGGTCCGTGACCATCTTGTCGGGCATGACCTAGGAAGCGCGAGTTTCGCAGCGTCCTATAACCTACTCAAGTAGGAAGCGCGGCCGAAATCGACATGGGACGCTGCGGAACTCGCGAGCATCTGCACGCCGTAGAGGCCGAAGATGACGGTCGTCATCTTGACGTACATGCTGGCGGCGCCCATCTTTTGCGGCGGCAGGCGGCGGCGGAATGCAGCAAAGAGTCGACTTTCGAGTGGAGCACGAGGCGCGAGCGCCGAAATTACTCGTGCACGGTGCCGGCCATATCGCCCGGCAGCCCGGCGTGACGATAGAGAGCAGCTTTTTTTTGCCGACGATGGGCCGCGCCGCCGCCCTCGTGGTCCTCGCCTGGCTCCGCTGCGCGTGCGCCCAGATCCCCGAGGGGATCGGCTTCGACGACGACGACTTCTTCCGGCCGACGCAGAAGCCCGTCCAGGTCAACACCTACCAGCAGGGCGCCGAGCACGAGTGGGACGACCCCCACGACGACGACTACAGCGACGACGGGGCGACGATCCGCACGCAGTGCTACACGGGGAGCGACCTCTACCAGACGGAGAAGACCTTCTGCGACCTCGAGTGCCTCGACTCCTACAAGGGGAAGCGCCGCGTGTCGCGCGCGTCGGGCCGCGACGGCGCGATCGACGACGTCGACTGCTCCGGCCCCTGGTACTGCTCCAAGATGGAGATCTGCCAGATGTACCACCAGAAGAACACGAACGACCAGGAGCAGGGCTTCCAGCGGGGCTGCATGACCGTGCGGTCCTGCGCGAACCACAGCCAGTGCTTCCCGACGGCGCAGGACCAGCGGAACATGAACATCCAGTGGTACGACGGCTGGGACGGCACCATGGCCGACCTCGGCAGCAGGATCCGCGACCACGGCTTCAAGATGTTCTACGGCGGCATGACCTTCGAGACGACGTGCTGCGTCAACCGCCACAACTACCGGCCGGGCATCGACACGCCCTGCAACGCCGCGTCGGCGACGACGGTCCGCGGCGCCCTCGCGTTCGCCGCCCTCGCCGGCGTCGCCGCCCTCCTCCGCGGCACCTAAGGGCCCTCCGCGAAAACTACTTAGGTCTTCGCGGCCTCGCGGCGCTTGTGGTGCTTGCCGCCGCGGCGCCGCGGCTTCGCCTTCGGTGGCTTCGGCGGCGAGTGGGCCTCGACGCCCGTCGGCGACGCGTCGCCGCGCGCCGCCGCGACGCGCCGGGGCACGGCCCACTTGTCCTCGTGGACCTCGTCGACGACGGTCCGCCGGAGCCGGACCTCCGAGAGGCGCCGCGCGCCGTCCGGCGCGGAGATGAGAGGCAGGGGCACCGTCCCCGCCGCGCAGCGGTGCGTCGCGAGGTCGCGCCGCGACATGAACGCGCCGCACGCCGGGCACGCGGCCTCGTAGGACTCGTCGACGGCGCGCCCGGGCGCCGCCGCGTCGCCGTTCCGCGCCGCCGGCGACGCGAGGTAGGCGTCCATGAGCTGGCGGCTGATGACGCCGCCGCCGTCGCACAGCAGGCAGTCGCCCTCGCTCAGGAAGAGCCGCGAGCCGCACGGGCAGAGGCACGCCATCGACCGCCACGGGTCGTCCGCGGCGGGCGGCGTTTTCGTCGCCTCCGCCGCCGCGGCTTCGGCCGCGTCCTGCTCCTGGCGCTGCGTCGTCACGGCGACGAAGACCGCCGCCAGCGACTTGAGCAGCTCGGGCAGCGCGCCGGGGCAGCGCCGGTCCTCCGCGGCGGCTCTGATGCAGACGTCGCGGATCCAGCTCCGCGCCGCGTCGTCGACGGCGTTCTCCGCGGCCTTGGCCATGGCCGCCTCCAGCTCCAGTCGCGCGGCCTCGGCCATGGTCGGCGGCAGCGCTGCGGCCGGACTCGCTGGACAGCCGAGCGCTTCGGACACGGTGGACAGCCGCTCGGCCGATTCGGCGAGCTGATTGGCCAATCCGTGGCAGCGCCGGGTACGCGTGCGCGGCGATGCAGATTGCCCCCACACAGGCACGCAACCACGACGCACCGCTTACTACAGGCAGCGGAGCGCGGCGGTCGAGAGCGCGTAGGACGTCTGTGGTCGTCGCACGAAGGACGTGGGCCCGATGTGGGGGAGGACCTTGCGCGGCGGCCGCGGCGGCGACCGCTTCGGCGACGCGTCGGCGTCGCGGGCCTCGGGCCGCGGTCCGCCGCCCGACGGCCGCTGCTTCATCTCGCCGAAGCCGCCGTCGCCGACGAAGCCGAGGTCCTCGTAGAACGCGACGAGGAAGGGCTGCTCCAGCGAGTTCTTCGCCGTCACGTAGAGGCTCACGGGCTCTCCGCGCCGTG